CCTGCACCGAAATTGACCTATCTCGAGCAGATTTTATCATAAATACAGCTTACCTGCTACGCAGCTCGGGTTTATCTCCAACTTCGGCCATTTTCCAAGCCTTCACATTGTTGAATTCAGCAACAGTTCCAGTATATATACGTAAACAGGCAGGTGTTGCCTTCGATCGAAACTTGAGCGCGAGTTTTATCGAGTTTCGGCTTGTAAGCGATCAAAGCTCGCCAACTCCGGGCCAATTTGTGCTAAATATCCTATCCTAACATCTTATCAAAGCATGGTTTCTTCGTGAATCAGACAATTAACTATCCAAGACTGGTATGAGGGAGAAAAGAATTGAAAGGTTGAAGAAATCTCGCCATTTAGATCGCCGAAGGATGGCGTTTTGATGTGGTGCTGCTTCCACGGAGGTCCGGTTAATAACCTCACGTGTAAACACGCTAGCCAGTTTACAATTGCGAAATGGCTCAGTAATCTCGAAAATCAAAATATGGAACTCAAGTGCTTATTAGAGACTAGAGGGGAATCATTTTGTTCCGAGTAGGCACGTGCACTCGGCTTGATAAACCTTTCTGACTGTCGAAGTAATATCGATGACCAGTTGCAAACGTGGCACTTCAGCCAGCTAATAGGTTCCATACAAGAATTTGAGATAATTCTAAACAGGTTGGGTTTGCCTCATGACCTTTCCCCTGAACAGCTCGAAGGACTATGGATCTGTGAGAAAAATGGAAATCACTTTGGTAAAAACTGGCGCCCGTGACGCACATGCCAGTACCCGCTGCATTCTGGTCGGCAGAAGCAACTGAAGACAAGAAACGCAGTCAGCCCTGACATGTCAAGGGAAATAACTGGTATTTATGGGAAGCATGTTCCAGCGGGATCCCGTAAGTCTGAAGAATTGTAGATATGGCATAAATCATTAATTTTTAGTTTTTGTTTATTCCTAAGCCAACAGAACCAAACTTCGAAGTAACATGTGTGGCATTGTTACGACGCTGTTTTTGCTTTGTTTAGAGCAGAATATTTAGGACTAAGATTAGAATTACTGTTTCAGAAAGAAACATTAATTTCTCCCTTTCTAATTCAAAGATAGCGAAGAAACGAGGAGAAAGTACTCAATTTGAGTCCGATTAAATAAGACGTGCGTTTAAGTTTCGGTCTCTGCCGACAATATTGTTGGTTGACGTGCCTTAATTAAATTAAATTGAAGTGTTAGATAAGCACGGAAGAATTATTAAAATCGCAGTAAATATACACGTATAGTGCGCTCCTAACTAGAAGTGTTGAATGAAAATGGTTCAAAAACAATTTTCTTTTATACAAAGAAAACATGAAAATGAAGGTTGAAGCTTAAATTCCATGCATGTTTGAGAAAATCGGCTGGTCAATTTTCGCGTATGCAACTTTGTTATGTTTGCACAGCCTTTTACGCGCTAAAACTAAACAGACATGAAAATACTTTTAAGACTAAAAATAATTATTCAAAAGTACACTGCATTTGGTTTCCGCTGGAAAAAAAAAAACTTTCGCTTTTTTATTTTTTTGAGTTTTTATTAAAATTTTTTACAGCTCTTTGAGTATTTACAACTGTCTCCAGCTGAAATAAACACCGTAATCATGCCGGTGATTGAAACAGGTAAAAATGTTCAAGCATTTTTTTTTTATTAAGAGTTGTCCATATTGCGGTAGGGATTAGCTACTTGCAAAGAAAAAAAAAGGTAAAAAATAAAGAGAAAATTACTCACATTTTTAGTGTACGCTCTGTAGATTTTGCACTGACTTGGCCTGGTCAGCACCACAACGTTGCCGTTTTGTGCTACTCAGTTTCAATTTGCATTCGTTTCCAAGCTAAGAATGTTATTTCCTATAGACTGTGCCTTTCAGTGATTTGGGTATCTTGCTCTAAGCTTCACCATATCAAGTTGGAGAAAAACAAGGCGTGGTTGCAAGGGCAACAGATCCAGAGCACTACCTAACAGGACGATGAGCCTTCCAGGTGATTATGGGTTACTTTGTATTTACTCTTTATTAATAATGGCTGTCCACGTTATACAGGGACGCAGCTGTCAGAAAAAAAATAAAGACAAATCGAAGTCGAAAGTCCATTAACCCGTCTCTACCTAGAAAAAAAAAAAACAAAAACAAAATCCTCATATGAATGTTCGTTAATGATGATACGAGAATACTGATGTTTACAAATAACATAATATATTCACTATTTTGCACAATGACTGTACATGCATTGGGACACTGATTGGGTGTTTACCAATGGCGAAACTCGTGTTCAGCTGGTGAGCACTTTCAATGAAGTTTTGCTTTGACTCAAAAAGAATTAAGGACCGGACACACGCAATAAAAGAGCACACAATGTAACACGAAACATTTTTTTTCTCTAGAGATGGCTACAAGCTGCAATTTCTGCACAATCAGCACTGACTCACCGAGCCAGTTAGAAGCCATATTTGTATAACCTGACCAAAATGGTGACATCAACATTAGAATAAGCCGCAACTGTTTAGTAGCCTGTGTAGCAGGCGTTTCTAAAAAAGCACGTGGAGAGAACGAAACTGCGAGCGAGTGCGTGGCAAATAATGCTGGTAGGGTCAGTCCCTTAATGTTGCAGCTCAAAACTTCATGGGACGAGGCGAGTGAACAAGAGAAGGAGGTCTGTATTGACAAGGCTACGGAAGCCTGCAATCTGGTATGTGACGTCATAGCTCCGAAGGCTGGACTGGAACTGTTTCAGTCCTGTGTCACACCAGGAAAAAGACACACACTTCAGTGACCTTGTACTGCTAATGGAAGCCTACAGTAACGCTAGCACTAAGAACATGAAGACCCAGATTCTGAGCCTGTATGAATATCGATGTCCAGTGAAGACCCTTCAGAGGATCCATGAGCCATACGCTAAGTTAACCGAGTGGCAAATCTGATGTCTTAGAGCTCATGCGCGAGATTGTGGTCCAGGCTCCTTAGTAGAAACGTCGCCTTCTCGTCGAGTTTGTCTACCCCCGGCGAAACGTCACCATTTCTTAGACTTTGTGAGTCGCCCATATTTCTATCAAGATGTGGCGTTCGGTACGAGGAAACTCAGGCTTAACAGCGGCAAAAAGATCACGATGCCCAACGTTATTCGGAAGGTGACAAGGGCAACAATGGTCAAGCAGTACCTCCAGTTTTGTGAAGAAGAGCAGTTCGAACCACTAAGCCGTGCAACTCTATTTCGAGTTCTTGAGGTAAGGGAAGCCTCTCAGCAGAAGTCACTTAGTGGCTTGGACAACATAGCAGCCGATGGTTCAGTGGGATTCGAGCGAATCGACCGAATAGTAGATGAGCTTAATCAAATAGGCCTGAAGAAGGACGTAGCCGATTAATCGAGAAGATCGCTTCGCGACGGTAAGAGGTACTTCAAAACGGAATACCAAAGTCACTGCCAAGATGATGAAAGTCAATGCCCCAACCACTGCCGTAAGTTGGGTCTCAGCGATCCAAAGGATTCAGATTTCCAGGAACATTGAACACACCAACATACGCTTCGCTGCCCTCAATGTGACGACATTACTTTGTGTTTGCAAAAGATGCACCAAATTGTCAAGGATGGCAAAAATCTGTTTTCACAGCCAGGAGCAACAAGATGACTTTTTGTACGACATTGACAAATCTTCGGAAGCCATAGTCCAGTGGAAAGCTCACATAACGAGATCCGTGAATCAAAAACACGCGAAGCAAGATATCCACGCAAAGCTTGACCAGAGCTCCTGTCTTCTCGTCATGGATTGGGCCATGAAGTTCCTACAGCTTCGCCATAAAGAGAAAGAAAGTGACTGGTACGGAAAAAGAGGTCTTAGTTGGCATATCAGCAGCGTAAAATTTAGCAGCCACTCTGGCACAACTGAAGTTATCTCTTACGCGCACTTGTTTGAGCAGTGTACTCAGGACTGGTACGCAGTCACGTCAAACCTTAAAGAACTTTTCAAGCTGCTGAAAGTTAAGAATTCTGAGCTGCAGAGAGTCTATCTAAGGTCGGATGAAGCTCGTTGTTATCACAATAGCTCCCTGATACTCGCTGTGAGAGATGTTGCAAAGAGAGTTGGCGTTACAGTCCAAAATTATCATTATTCAGAGCCGCAATCTGGCAAGGATATTTGTGATCGTATACTATGTCCAATGAAGTCCTCGA